CAGAATAGTAAAATGAACCTTCATATATTCTATCATCTAGAGAAGCAATTTTCATCTCATGGCACACCTAAAGTAACTACTAAAATTCAGCGGTTGAAAATCACTGATTTAGAGAGCTAGCAGTCTGGGTCAAATAGAGCATGGGTAATGCTGAAAAGGAGCCTTAGGACACTGGTCAGATTAGTAACAAAAAGGGTGAAGATTATATGAATTGAGAAACATAGGAAATGGTAGCTCCTTCTGCCCCCTTATCTCCAACATTGATGTCCTTATTACCTCATGGGCCTTTGTTTTCAAAGAGCAGGACATTGTACTTAGCCATGGCTTGGGAGAAAGCTACCTGGGCTAAGGATCTGTTCATTTTGTCTCCCACTGCACCCATCTTTCTGCTGACCTCTAAGACTCTGGAGAGTATGTCTTGACATACCCATAGATGTATGACTTGACAGCATGATCCCAGAGACTCATGACAAAGGGATGTTTTGCTCCGATGAAGGTGTCCTGTAGATCCTGCTGTCTTGCAGAAAATCCTTTATGTATACCCTCACTATTGGGGCTTGGATTACTTAATGAAGCAAAAGAGGGGTCTCTTTACTTATTGAGGTCAGGGGTACTTTAAATGAGAGGATAGGAATCACAGAATGATTCAACAGTGGTCAGGCAGCTTCCAAAGATGGCAATGGGAAAGCCTCTTCCTCTAGCACATGAACTACCACCAGTCTCATCAGGAAGAATGCAAATCCTGCCATAGCTGAGTTGGTCCTGAACAAAGTGGACCTGGAGATGCTCAAGCCTTCAGTAAAATCTCTGACAAAACTACAAGTAACCTTATTTTGGCATCTCAGTTTCAAAATTCTTCTGAGAGTTCTGTCAATAGTGGGTACAGACGAAAGGAAGTGTGTGGAAGAGATATATGGATGAGCCCAGTATTAAGACAGCAATTCCCAACAGGTAGATGAGATGACCAACATGGACTCTTTCCTCTTGTAGGGCCCCCTCAGCCAACTGACTTGTGGCCCTATTTATGGTTGACCCAATTCTCATTTAGAGAATGAGACTGCCAGCCTAATGCCTTTCTAATCAGGAGGTTCAAATCCCATTTTGATGGTCCAGGGACTTCATTAAGACACTTCCATGACACTCAACTGCTGAGCCACATTGGCCAGGACAGTGTGGCATTTTAATGAGACCCTGCAAACTTTCAAAACCTGAATATGATGTTCTCTTTTCACCTTCACAGGGCTTTCTTTTTTTTTACCTTTAATTTCTTTACTGGTTAAGGTATTGTTCTCTTTTCTTCACATCTACATCAGCAAAGGACATTTAATTTTTTTTATAAAGACCCCCCCCCAATGGAAAGAAATGTCCAAATTGTATTTTGGCACCACAATGACTTGCTATGTTTTAAAATACTTTTGTTTAAAATGATTAGAATAGCTTGTGCAAAAGTGTAAACTAATTTTACTAGTAACTGTGACATTACCATTTCCCTTCCACTCAGAAACCCTGGATTCAAATGCCCCAGGGTATGAGGAGGGCAATGTGCAAAGCCAGGGGAAGGTGAAGATGGGCAATGGAAATGAGAGGTTTCCAGGGATCAAGTAAAGTTCCCTCCTAACACAACAGAGAGGAAAAACAATGACCCATAAACATATTTGCCATTATATATATATTTATTTTCTTCTTTTGGCTATTTACAAACCTTTATTTAATCATAATTTTCAGAAGCATAATTTTATGGTTTCATTTTTTTTAATTCAGAATTGGTCATGTCTTTTTCATGCAAGAATTTACATTTAATAAGAACAAAGGGCACCAGGTCATCTTGTGGGGTCTCTGCTGCTCTGCGTCCTTTTGTGGGTCAGGCCATCCAGGGCACGTGGATCTTAGTCCTCTTCCTTTCTTGGTTTTCATCTCCTGGACCCAGCACCTCTCTTGAAGAAGTACATGCGTATATGTGTAGTTTTAGTTTATTTCATCTGCCTCCAGAATGACACTGGCTTGACTGGCTTCTGAATAATTCCTTGGCACTGTGGTCAGTTGCACTACACCTGGGTACCTTCAGTTCTGCTGATGACTACTGACCCCAGGGACGCAATCTAACAAGATGGTGGGTGCAAAGTCTCACACATGTTGAGTCAGCAAAGGTGACCCTGACCAACTGGGGCTTTTTCATAATTGAAGTATTTGAGGATGACACTGTAACACCCCCCTCCCTACCCTGAAAACCCAACACTGATAATAAAGATTTCATATTGATCACAGGACATTATACGACAAACATGAACACAATGCATTTTGTAGGACAAGTCACAATTGCCTTTGATGCTCAGCACCACAATAGGGTACCATATTGGTGGATAACTTAGCAAGTGCATTCATTAGTTAATAGCTCAGAAGGTTAGTTAGCTCTTTTATGTACAGAGTAAGGAATGGCCACAGTCTCAGCAAAACACAGCTCTAAATATACAAAGACTTTGCAGCATTGCTATTAACTAGATGACATGGATTGTAAGAATACATTTGACAAGCTCTAGTAAGAATCAACAGCTCTTCTGTTAGTTCTGCAAAAGCGACCCACAGTGACAGATGGAACAGGAGAGAATTTGGTAGGAAACATGTCCCACATAAACACAATAAAATGACACTTTGAAGAGACAGAAGGTGTCTTTCCCACGGTAGTGATGGAAAGGGTATTTGAGGGGGAAAGTTAATATGATAGCCCACGTGAGGAAAAGAAAGGGAAATTGGTAGAGGATTAAGTGGGGGTTGCTCCATCCCAGACTTAGCAACACCTTTTCCTCTGCCAAAGATCAAAATTATCTATCACCACAAGCACTCTCTGGCTGGGGCTGAGAGAGGCTCCATGGGCCAAACCCCAGGAGTGCCCTACTTGATGCTCTGCACTTCTAGAGTTACTTAGTGTGAGGTATGAAATAGGAGGGGATATAGGCAGCCAGTTGGAGGAAGGTGTGCCTGTACCACTGGGGACAGCTGAGGATGGGGCTCAACAATGATGCTGAAGACAGAACACACATTGAACATGACAAGGGGCGATCTGGCAATTTTCGCGCTAAAATGACCAAGTCCATGGCAAACTCACAAGGTTCAAGTTTCTGAAAAGATGTCATTGCCAGACCTCCACCTCACCTTGACACTTAGCCTGACACAGTGTGAGTTGCAGTACAGTTCAACACATTGCAGCACATTAGGGCAATATATTCTTTTTAAGATATACTATTATATCTAGCTACGTGAATCTATAGATATTTACAGCTGGCTTCTCTACTCTTCTGTGCTTTGAAGTTTTCCTGTGCATTGCTGCCAGACACACCTTAAACCCCATTTTTGTCCCCACTGATCTAGTCTCTTTCACTAGTATGACCTCACCCTAAATGAACTGCTTGCCTCCTATAGGGCTCAAAGGCCTTCCAGGATCTTGGAAACCCAAATCCAAACCAACCAACCAACCAACGTTTAAGTCTTCCTGTAGCCATGGTGGGAGCTTCATATGTGGGGTCATTGCTACCTCTCCAGTCTGGATCTCTCTGTGGGGGGTGTCCAAAAAGAAAGAAGCAATCTTAGACTTTCCAGGGGCAACTTTTTTGTTTTTAATCTGGATTACGAGATTGTGTGTGTGTGTGTGTGTGTGCGCGCGCGCGCGCGCGTGAGCGCGTACAAGTGCAAACACATGTGATTGTGTTTGTGACATATGTGCGGCTGTGTGTTTGTGTATGTATTTGTGTGTACTAGTATATGTATATCCTGCTGAGGGTGAGTGCCCAACATGTGTATCATGTATGTGTGACTCTGTAGATCTCTGTGGGTGTGTATGTGTAGGAGGCTATATTTATATGCTGCATCTATAGAAAAGAAGAGGAGAGGTGACAAAATGGGTTGATCCTGGCAGGCAGTCCCTGGGACCTACTGTACTTCTCTTCTTGGTCAGCCTTCTCACCTTTCT